TTTTTTTTTTTTTTTTGCCTTTGCCCTTTAATTCAATGGTTTGGTTTTAAATGTTTTTTTTTTGTATATCCATATGTTTTGATATGAATAAGTACAGGGAAAAGATTTTTTGATTATTGATATTTTAATTTGATATTGATATTTTATTGATTTTTGATATTTTAATTAGATGTTCGTCCCACTAGACACTATCGTATCAAGGATTAATTTGTTTTATATATCTTATACGTCCTAACTTTGATGTAAGTATTTTAAATACGCCTATTTTACAAGTTTGATCTTAAACATGGCTCATGAACTTAACAATACGTAGAAATGCACCAATAGTGCGCTCCGGCTGCACCTGGCACTGCGCCAACTAGGTCGAGTGGAGACAAATTAAACTTCTGTTTCTGACGGATTTTTATTTTTAAACTACAATATATGGCGATGAAGTTCACTATATTTGTGTACCAGCTGTTGCTCGCGACTTCGTCCGCGTGAAATTAAAAAAAAAATAATAAAAACATGGCCTGTGTTACTCACTGATAACGTATCTTTTTAGTTATTTCATACATACATATGAAAATACAAATATTTGCTCTTTATAATATAGATAATCTTTCTCTCTCTCTCTCTCTTTTTATAGTATAGATTATGTTTTTGTAAAACTCAGTGTTATTTATATTTCAGGATTTGGACGAAAAAAGAATCAAAAACATAAAGAATTTCATGTTAAGTTCTGTGGATGTGGAAAGGAAAGTCTTCCCTATAATAATGCAGTGCCTTGACGGAATGGAGACAGCCGCTAATAGTATTAATGAAAAAGAGGTAATTATTGCTCCTAGACCACTCTCTTTATTTTCTTAAATATGATTTTTGTTCAATCTGGTGTCAGTTTTTTTTTTTATTTGAATTGGAGCATATTTCCTCGTAAAACAACTATTTGATTATTAAAATCCATTGCAACTATCAAAAATTAAATAAAAAATGTATTTAGCCTGAGTTCTTTAGCCTATGTCCTTCATCGAAGCAAATTTTAAAGGTATCTGAATCGTTGATAATTAACCGTTCTTCAGATATAGTAACATCCACCCATCCATATTCAATTTACTAAGACTGTTGTAGATACATTGTGCAAAAAATATTAATTAATAATTTTTATATGCTAAATGTACAAACTACAATCTTACTTCTTACTAATATTATAAATGCGAAAGTTTAGATGGATGGATGGATGTTTGTTAGAGTTTGTAGGCTAAACGGCTGAACGGATCTCGATAAAATTTGGTATAGATGTAGAGGACAGTCTGGAAAAATACATAGGCTACTCACTTTTATTTTTTTATTTCCACGCGGACGGAGTCGCGGGCGAAAGCTAGTTGTAAATATATGTATTTTACTTTCGGCAACAAGGTGTTAATATAAAGGATTGTATCTCAGGACACTCAGCTGGTGATAGAGAGATACAAGTCGGGGTTCGTGCCGCCCGAGGAGTTCCGGTTCGAGGCGGCGTCGGGCCGCGACTCGCAGGAGCACGCGCACGCGCCCGCGCACCACCTCACCGCCGCGCGCGGCACCGTCTCTCAGCGCGTCAAGAAGCGCGGCGGACTGCTCTCCATATTCACCTCCAACAAGGTGACCGCACCATCCTTGCTGCCTACTACCTAGTTGCAACTGCCTAGTTACAACTGGCTAATTATAACTGGCGATTTACAGCTGGCTAGTTACAACTGTCTAGTTACAAATGGCAAATTACAACTAGTTAGTTATAACTGGCAAGGTACAACTCGCAAGTAACAACTGGCTAGTTACTATTACTTTTTATAACTGGCTAATTACAAATGGCTAGTTATAACTGGCTAGTTACAACTGGCTGGCAACACGTCGGTGACTAATTAAAAAAAATAAGACATCCTACCGTGGTGCCTTATGATAGTTACACACAATGAAGGAATTTAATTATTATTTTATGGTTTATCAATATAATTGCATGATTTAGTTCCTTTTATTATATTATTTATCTATATGTATATGGTAACATGTATTACATGTAACATGTACACTGTTTGAACATGAACTTGCTCTTGTGTGTAACGGGCATTAGTACTACCGAGATGAACCATTTTATTTTGGTTTTAAGATAACTTAATATGCCGACATCATCTCTTAGTTTTAGATGGTTTATGGATGTAATACGGTAAATGGTTAAATTCTAAGAATAGTTTTTTTGATCTTAATAACTTTGTAATTATTACAAATGCATGAAATATCCTATTTATTATGTTATTTTTTATGTTTTATAGTAATGGTTTATTATGCTTTGGAGATGGTGATACTAATTTATTTTTATTTTGTCATTCCCCGTCCGTTCCTCGTGTAACACGGGTTATCAAATAATGCCGCCTGAAATCCCTGAAACTAAAAAGTAAGTCGATATCAAGGGCGCGTAAGTTTGCATGCGCCATACAAACTGCATCTAACTTCATACAAACAAAGCCATGCATTCACAAACTGTCCTTTATCGTCTCATTTACTGCCATTTGAGTCGTTTACCTAAGGGAGACCCTTAGTGTATAAGAACGCAACACTAAGCGTCTGCTCAGACTGCGGTAGAGTAGATTTTTATCACAAGTAAAATTGAACTTTACTGGTTTGCTTTAAGGTTTAATTTTACTTTGCACTTTTCAAAGATCAAGCTAAAACCGCCAGAAGTAAAATTAAACCTTGTTATTATACAATAAAGTCTATTTTTATTGGGGCATAAAATATTTGCTTTCTTTGCTCAGGTTTGAACGGACTTAAATTGTCTCTTTAGGTATTTACGGACTCTGTGTGGCAGTTAAACGTTTCAGCTTCGCTTAGGACTCGCCAATGAGATGGTGAAAGTCCTTGTTTCTGTTTTCATTTCTTTTTTATTTAATGTTATTTGTTTGTCTTCTCGCGGTACTATACAGAGGATTATAGAGGCGTGCCATTCATTTAAGGTCAGTCGTGTGAAGTCGCTGTGCTATGGTTGACGTCTGGTACTGGCTAAATACACGAATACCCACTTTATATGATATTTTTGATGGTTAATGGTTGTTTTGACACATCAAAAATGATAATAAATAATTAATGAAAATAAAATTTTTGGTTTAAAAAGATCGGGTCGAAAATTAGTTTTACGATTTTTTTTTATTTCTTATGCATGTTGATCATAAGTAACCAAATAATAGCCTTAATTTTTTTTAAATAATGCAAGATAAACCGCAATTTATTATCTTTTTTCTAAACTTTCTAATTTTCGGAACTAAATTTTAAAACATTAGTTTAAGTATCATTGTCTAAAAAAAATTTTTAATTTTAATGAAAACTGGTGTAAATATGACCATTTCTAAATTGTACAAAGAAATGTTTAGATGGTTTGTTCTTGTGGCGATCTTCGCACTCTATTCAAATGTCACAAGCACATTTGTGTTCATTCACACACGCCTTGCTGTGCGTTTCCATTGTCGCAACACTTGTTTCAAAACATTTATCAACCGAAGACATTTAAACAATATATAGACGAGGCATAGTGAGGAATATTTTTTTTTTATCAGTACTTTTTTGAAAGGTACTATATTAGTTGTCAAGTTTAGTGCCTTTCTTACATGTAATAAAACATTATGTAATAAGCTCCATATTTTATTAAATAAACTAAATTACAAAATAAAATGTAAACATTCAAATGTTTTTTGATGAGATCTTTTGTCTATTAATTAAAATATAATTAATTATTATTTTTTAAAGATATACCAATAGATAATAGTGGTAATTATGTTTCAAGTGAAGTGTCAACCAATAGCGTAATGGTTTAGGGTACAGACTACTGATCTTGCGGTCGAGGGTTCGAATCCTGCCATTCGACTATTGTCGTGAACCATATCCTAGCACAAGCTTTGTGCTTAGTTGGGATGGTTAAAGGAAATATTAGTAAATTAACAAAAATCTACTAATATTTTTAACAAAAAAAACTATGCCTTGTCTATATATTTTTTTAATCTCTGTGTTATCAACATATGTGAGAAATGTTAGAACCCAAGTATTACGATGATTGAATTTCACGGGTAGACTGAGCTAGAAATGTACAGGTTTCGCTTAATTTATTCGTGTTTGTTGTTAATATAGTTTATAATATTGTGTTTTTATTTTAGAACAACATGTCGATGGATGGAAAGGAGGATTATTCAGATTTGCCACCGAATCAGAAGAAGAAGAAACTACAAGCCAAGGTTCTTGAATTAAACAAACAGGTTGGTTTAATACTATTTTTGTACATAGAAGTATTTAGAATTAGAAAAAGTATTAGCTTCGTTAGGGGGACAACAACTTACCCTTTAGAGACTTCAAAAAATTTAAAATAAATACAGAAATTACAATGAATTAGACCATATGAAAGATAGCTATCCCCATAGACTTTGTCTAGGTCATAGACTGGCGGGGCTTATGCCGTCCTTTATATTTCAATCACAAAATATTGAAATGAAAGGTAACTAACCTTATTCCATTAGTAATTTTAATTTTATGAAATAAGTTGTATATTTTTTTATTGCATGTTATGTGACATTTAATTTTTTTATTTTTTTCAATCAGGTTGCACAAGAACAAGCGGCAATGGAAGGTCTAATGAAGATGAAGGGAGTGTACGAAACAAATCCTACGTTAGGAGATCCAATGACTGTAGAAGGTTTGATGTTATCACATTTTAATTTTTAATAACAACTACATTTTTTAATGGCAACTACCAATGAGTTTTGTAATTGTCGTCGTATGGTCAAGGTTAACGCGCATTCGTTCACCCGGCACCGCCCCGCCTTGCTATCGCCGCATTGTACGATTACCATATAC